GCTTGTTTGCCCCCCAGTCAACTCCAAAAAAGTCATGTGACTGATAGTACGCAATTGTTTCTGTTGTGGTTTCTATGGTGATGTACTTACTCTTCCTGTTTCGACCAGTTCTCTCTGTGCTGCTGATGCACTCTTGACCAGTGCAACAGTGGCAGCCGTGATGGCTTTAGCCACCTCAAGGATTTGCTCTTCAAAGTTCAGAGACTCGTCTGCTTGCTGAGGAGTTAAAGAGAAGTCAAGGCTTAAGGCCAAACAAAAAATAAGTGTTTCCTGTTGCGCGACCGACGCTAATATTTTTTCATTCCTAAATGCACCCAGTAAGCTCATTTCCACTGTTGTATCAGTAAAAAAAATAAAAATAAAATAATAAAAATATCCGACCTACCGACCCCAAATATTTTTCTCATGCAACAGGAAACACACTTATTTTTTTGTTTGGCCTAATGGTAAAATAACTAATTAAGTTAATGGAAATACTTGAGATGAGGAGTGACGAATACAGTTAAAGAAGCATAGACAGAAAAACTATTTTCTATGCTACAGCATATAGAACACCAATCTCGTACCCAGAGCCTGCGTTTCTTCTGGTCTGTGTCGAAGAACGAGGGCCCTGGAACAATCCACTTTTGTGTTTACTTACGATCAAAATAAAAATAAGAAATCAGGAACCTATGTTTTAAATTTTTGGCAAGTGTTTGAACGCATGCGCTTATACCTAAAGTCCAAGAAATCCTGGTCTCAAAAAATGGATTATGCCAGAGCCCTTGTTCTTCACAGTACAACATAACAAAACACAGCACGACAAACCATGATCAAATCACCCCCTACGACAAGACATAACAACAAACCACACTACGCCACAGTATAACACCGCACCGCATCATTGACAACAACAACAACAACGACAACAATAACAAATATAAAAAACTTCTCACCTTTGGTCTTGGTTTGGGTTTAAGTTCAGCAAGTTTACGCGCAGCAGCTTCGATAGACGCAGCAGCTCCAAGAAGCTCGTTCTCTGCGATGACATTAGGATCTTCTGGGTTCACCCAGTCAGAACCTAGAGAAAAAACATACCAGTGTCACGCAATCGATATATCTGCTGTCACGCAATCAACATATCTGCTGTCACGCAATCAATATATCTGCTGTCACGTAATCTCAATCACTGTAATAATCATGCGCTCTAAGTTATGCTCTTCCATATCGAAGATATTGCATTTTAGTTAGAGAATTAGGGATAGCGTAGCGCTAGTGCACTCGCCCCTCAGTCTCGAGTCTAATTCCTTGATTTGATAACGCAAATGAATACAAAAATCTTACGCATGCGTAGAAACTCGTACCTTTGAGCTGTTCGGCAACTCGAACCAGTTTCCCTACTCGTTCAGCGACATTCTTTGATAAAGGCATCAGGCGCTGTTTCTTCTCATTGCTTGGTTTTTGTATAATCTAAAGAACAAGATACAAGACTCGGTGTAATGATGACTGCTAGTGCGCATGCGCTCCTTAACAAGTCATGTGATTATAGTTTGCATGTGGTTCATAGCGGTTTTACTCAAACTTTACTATGAAACTTCTACAAAAGTTCAGAGAATCGTGAGCGTGTTCGATAATCTTAATAAAATCATGTTTTTTGACCAATCAGAGCGCGTGTTATATCTAAATAATTTTATAACTTACATTAATAACTAGTTCAGACACTTCACCATAAGCAGCAGCGGCATCACGTCCTGATACTAGAGTAGCGTACTTGACGTCTTCTGATTCTGACTTAGCAGCAGCAGCCTGGGAAATAACGAGTGAATACAATAATGAATGAATGGAAGGAAGGAAGGTAGAAAGAAATCCAAGGAAGGAAAGAAGTAAGGATGGATGGATGGGATGGGATGGGATGGATGAAAGGAAGGAAGGAAGGAAGGAAGGAAGGTAGGATGGATGGGTGGGTGGGTGGGTGGATGGATGGATGGATGGATGGGATGGATGGATAATAATAATAATAATAATCTTTATTTAAGCACGGTAACTCTATCAATATCAAGATAAAAAACTTAATGTTGCTCTACCTAGAGGCCGTAAAAACTATATTAACAAATGATAATTATGTAAAATATACAAATGCTACACTGA